GGAAGTGTGTGTGTGTGTGTGTGTGTGTGTGTGTGTGTGTGTGTGTGTGTGAGTTTGTGTGTGTGTATGAGTGTGTCCGTGTGGGTATCTGTATGTGTATCTGTGTGTATATGTTTATGTGTGTCTTTGTCAGTCTGTGTGTGTCTGTGTCTGGGTGTGTGTGTATGCCTTGCGTATTAGTGTGTGTGTCTACATATGTAAATGTGTGTGTGTCTGTGTGTGAGTATAGGTGTGTGTGAGTTTGTGTGACTGTGTGTATGAGTGTCTGTGAGTTTGTGTGTGTGTATGAGTGTGTCCGTGTGGGTATTTGTATGTGTATCTGTGTGTATATGTTTATGTGTGTCTTTGTCTGTGTGTGTCTGTGTCTGGGTGTGGGTGTATGCCTGTGCGTATTAGTGTGTGTGTCTGCATATGTAAATGTGTGTGTGTCTGTGTGTGTGAACGTGTGCATCTGTGTCTTTTTATGAGTGTCCATGTGTCTGTTCATGTGTGTCTGCGTGTGTAAGTATGTGTGTCTGTCTGTGTACGTATCTGTGTGTGTGTATGTGTGTATGAGTGTCTGGTGTGTGTGTGGGGGTGTGTGTGTGTGTAATGGGCAGGTACAGCTCAGGGCTGAGCCCTGCCCACTACCTTCCGCTCCCATCAGGGCTCCTGGAGAGGCTCCTAGAGACTCCTAGGTTTCCAGGCAATTGGCAGAGATGCCCAAATCAGCCACGTGTAAGACAACTCTTGTCTCCCACTTGAGCTAAGAAACATGGCTTGCCTGTGATCTGTGTCTGTGGTCCTGAATGTTTGGTCTTGTTAAAGAAATGAATGAGTCTGGCTGAGCACATCATAACCTCCACAACTCCCTCTGCCAACAGATATTGATTTTGGCACCCGCAAGATCGCACTATCTCTGACTCAGACAAAGATCATTGATCAAAACGGTGATAACTTCAAGACGAAAACCAACAGCACGTTCCGCAACTACAACGTGGATTTCACCGTCGGAGTGGAGTTTGACGAGTACACAAAGGGCCTGGACAACCGGCACGTGAAGGTACCCACCTGTGCTGGCGTTTTCACTTGTACGCTGTGCAGGGGCAGCTATTTGGCTTCACAATGAAAAAATGACAGAAACAACCTGGGAGGGGTCAGGAAAGGGGGACCAGAATGAACTTAATGATGCTGGCAGCAAGCAATTATTGAAGGTTTAGTAAGAAGAGGCCAACTGGCTTCTGCACTAAGCTTATAAGCAAAGGAAGGATGAAAGGATCTGGAGTTTTTAGGACTTAGGATCAGCCCAAACCAAACCAAACCCGTTGCCATCGATTCGATTCTGACTCATAGCAACCCTACAGGACAGAGCAGAACTACCCCATAGGGTTTCCAAGGCTATCATTTTTATGGGAGCACATTGCCACATCTTTCTCCCACAGAGCAGCTGGTGGGTTTGAACCACCTACCTTTCCGTTAGCAGCCCAGTGCTTTACCACCTGGCCACCAGGACTCCCGGGATCTAGGGCCGGGGGCCCAAATTCACATACAGACATGGGCCAAGCAGGCAAGGTGAGGAGAACAAGGTGAAATACTGTAGACAGTGCTGGCGACCGTAGTGAAGGGGAGAGGATAGCTTCATCTAAAGGGGTTGTCGCTTCTCAGCTCCAACTAAGCATTGCTATGCAAGAACGAGAGCCTCAGGGTGCTGGATTTTTTTCTTTTCAAAAGAAGTTAGAATTCAGATATTTTTATAAGAAATATCTCAATTTTAGATGATGTCAACTGATTTAACTTTTTTAAAGTGCTATGCAAACTGAACAAAAAAGTCAGCAGACTGAAACCAGTTACCATCGAGTCAGCTCCGACTTGTGGAAACGCCATGTGTATCAGAGCAGAACTCTGTCCACAGGGTTTTCAATGGCTGATTTTTTTTCTGAAAGTAGATTACTAGGCTGTTCTTCCGAGGCACCTCTGGGTGGACTCAAATCTCCAATCTTTTGGTTAGCAGCCAAGCTCATTAACTGTTTGCACCACCCAGGGACTCCAGAATAAATGAAGTCGGGACTTATCTAGTACTAGTAACTTGCAGAGGTGCCTGGGTGGCACGAACAGTTTGCAATCAGCTGCTAACCTAAAGGTTGATGGTTCGAACCCACCCAGCTGTTTTGTGAAAGAAAGGCCTGGTGAACTGCTTCCCTAAAGATTACAGCCAAGAAAACTCTGTGGAGCAGTTGTACTCTGTAACACACAGGGTCGCCGTGAGTCAGGAGCCGACGCGATGGCAGTCGTATTTAAGGATCCCCCGCCTTTAGCATCATACAAGAACCCCAGGGATTACACAGTCCAGGAATACTGGAAGGTTTCCAGTTAGTCATTGATCGTGTTTACCATCCATCTCTCACTGTCCATGCCCGTGTGGTTTATATGAGGAAAGGGTAGACAGCTGGAACACTCATTGCACCCACCCTCTCCATGCCAGCCTCACCCACCAGACCCTGTGTTCCTAAGCTGAGGGAGGGAAGGGCTGAGATACATGCTATCACCTGCCAGCAAAGGGCCAGCCCCTTGGGGCATCACAAGGAAGGAGGTGCAGATCCTCCCACTCAAGAACCTTCCTTTTCCCTATAAGCCCCACTCTTCCCACCTTCAGAACTCTCTCACCCAGGAGTCCCGGTGGTGCAGTGGTTAAGTGTTCGGCTGCTAACCAAAGGGTGGGTGGTTCGAACCCACCAGCTGCTCCTCGGGAGAAAGATATGGCAATCTGCTCCCATAAAGATTACAGGCCTGGAAACCCTATGGGGCAGCTCTGCTCTGGCCTATAGGGTCGCTATGAGTCTGAATTGACTCAATGGCAAAGGGTTTGGTTTTGATCTCTCTTCCAGGAGATCTCTCAAAATCAGAAGTCTCAACTCTCCCCTAAAGCTAGGGACATGAGCACTGGCTACGCTCTTGGGATGGAGAGGAAAAGCTGTTTTCACTCTTTGGTGTTGAGTCTAAGGCTAAGGGGGGGATACATTTTACTTCTCGATCAAGTTGTCCTGAAACATTGATGATCTCAGCCATCAAGTCAAGGCTGAGTTATATTGAGAGTTCTTTGCTAAAGAAAAGTGAGGAAATGGGAGGCGCTTTGGAAATACCTTCCTCAGAGTGGTCCTGGAGAGAAAGCACATGCTCCCCAAACCTGTGCCATCCACTTGTAGAATCTCTCTCCAAGGGGTTGATGGATAGACGGGGCTTTTCTGAACTGTGCAGCTGAAAGGCCAATCCGTCAGACGCCAGCAGTGAGGGGAAAATTTGCCTCAGAATTTTTGTAGCACTTTGCTGTTCTAACCAAATCGGTTCAAAAGGATTCCTTTTCCCTCACCCTTCAGTCTGAGTTGTGTATGTGCTCTTGAAAAGCAGCTTGGTCCCCTCTGACTTGTTCTTTGATCATCTTTCATGGTGGGGAACTCACTTTTCCTGAAATATGTCATGTCCTTCCAACCCTTCTTGACCCATAAATGATTCCATCTGCTAACACCTACCCCTCCTCTGCCTCTCCCTGCTCATTCCCCACTGAGCCAGGTCCTCTCTCCAAAATCAGCCGGTAACTCTGCAGAGAGAGAGAATCTCCTTGTCCGTATCTTGTCTCTCTTTGCCTGCAGCAAATAGCCAAGGCCAATACACAGACACACACACTGACACACTCACACACACAGAGACACACACTCACACACGCACAGCACTAACTGGGGCTGAGGAATACCCAGGACAGAGCTTGCCTAGCCTCCAGCAAAGGGCTGGTTCCCATGAGAATCACAGCACAGAGCGGGTGCCCTCGGTGCTATCGATTTCCTGTAACTTAACTGGACTCCTTCAGCTGGAAGAAGATGCCAGAGACCGGGTGACTCTGTCTCTCTGATAAATTTCTGTTGTCCACACTGGGCTGCAGGCCACGTGTGCATGTGCCTGTATATAGGACTCCTCACTCTGGTTCTCCAGGGCTCTACTTCTCAGCCCTTGGTCACTCTCGTGAACCCCTCCAAAAACTCCCATTCAGCTGATTTGGAGGAGAGGTGGGTGTGCAGCAGAGGCCTAACAGGAGCCTATAGAGCCCCATTCTCTGTTAGGTGCAAAGCAGGAATAATGAAACCACACAGACTATGGGGTCAACTCCTCTCTGGGAGGCCTGGGGACCCTCTTCTGCCTTCCTGCACATCATATATATATACTCCTAACTTCCTAAGAGGGTTTAAAGCCTCTTTCAATATATGCATAACTAAAAACCCATTGTTGTTGAGTCGATTCTGACTCATGGCAGTTCCATGTGTATCAGAGTAGAACTGCTCCACAGGGTTTTCAAAATATGCAAGCTACCCTAAGATAAAGTGAAAAGGAGTAATTCATATCCATACAGTAGAATATTATCCAATAGAAAGAAAGGAAATACTGATTCATGCTACAGTGTGGATGCACCTTGCAAACACTTTGCTAACTAGAAGAAACCAGGCACAAGAAGGCTACGTATTGTATGATTCCATTTACATGGAATGTTCAGAGTAAGCAAATCGACAGAGGCAGAAAGCAGATTACTGGTTGCCAGGGGTTGAGACAGGGGAAAACAGGATGTGGCTGCTAATGGGCACTGGGTTTCTTTTGGGGGTGGTGAAAATGTTCTAGAATTAGATACTAGTGATGGTTGTACAACCTTATGAATGTATGAAAAACTACTGAATTGTACACTTTAAAAGGGTGAACTTCATGGTACCTGAATTATATCTCAATTTAAAGACTAAGTAATTGAAATTGGGGTAGAGAGCAAGGGCAGGAAAAAGCAGATATAGATGATGGCAGTCAGAGCCAAAAATGCCAGTGTGGTGTCCAGAAGAGACGTGGGAGGCCAGAGGAGGCTGCCAGGTAGTCAGGGGAGACTGCCAGGAGGAGGAGGCACTCAGGGATTGCTGGAGGACAGCACAGGGCACTGCAGGCAGAAGGAAAAGTCTTGCCTGAGCGCGGGTGTTTACTGAGCAGGCACCCTAATAGGGTCCTCCAAGGAGCCCTCGTGGTGCAGTGGTTAAGCCTTTGGCTGCCAACCAAACAGTTGGCAGTTCAAATCCACCAGCTGCTCCTTAGAAACCACATGGGGCAGTTCTACTCTATTCTATAGTGTTGCTATGAGTCAGAATTGACTGCACGCAATGGGTTTGTTTTTGTTTTAAGGAGCCCTAGTGGCCCTGTGGTTAAAGCACTCGGCTGCTAACCAAAAGGTCAGCAGTTCAACCCACCTGCGGCTCCTTGGGAGAAAGATGTGGCAGTCTTTAATCTTCCGTAAAGATTACAGCCTTGGAAACCCTATGGGGTAGTCCTACTCTGTCCTATAGGGTCACTATGAGTCAGAATAGACTTGGAGGCAACAAGTGATAGTATCCTCCAATGCTTTTGATTTAAAGGACTCTTCCTTTAAAAAAAAAATTATTTGCGAGTGATTCCAAATATACAGAAATGTTGCAAGCATATAACAAAGAACACCCATATAACTTTCACCCAGAGTCACCTATTACTAACATTTTACCTTATTTGCTTTATTTGCTTATTTGTACAGGCTCTCTCTCTAATACGTGTGTGTGTGTGTGTGTGTGTGTGTGTGTGTGTGTGTGTGTTTATTTTCTGAAAATTTGGTGCTTTACCCCCTAAATAATTTAGAATGTGTTTCTTAAGAATTAGGATATTTTTTTCTATCACCACAGTGTAGTTATCAACTTCTATAAATTTAACACCAATACAGTACTTGTATCTAATTTTACCACCAAACGGCTGTTTTAAATGATGGTAATTTTGGACACTGCAATAGGGGATGGAAAGATTTCCTGGTGCCCTGCACATCAGTGTGGGCACAGCTTCCTTCTATGCCTCGTGCAAGCCTGTTCCAAGGATCCTTGGAATGCACTCCCTCTTCATCCCCTGACTCAGAAGTCGTGGCTTTCCTTGCTTAAATCCGTATCTTCAACCTCTGGATCTTTTAAGGCAATTGGGCCTCTTTAAAGCCTCCTCTGATACAGGGATGAAGGGCACCAATGAAAAGCAAATTGAATTGGGCAAGTCTAGTTCTTTCAGCCACTCTCTTCTCTCTGCTTCTCCCTGTCTGTTTTATGGAGGAGTCAGGCTATAATATGGTAGGTATTACCATGATTCACTGATAACCAGTTTACTCTGGGGTCAGAATAACTTTTAATCTTGCTACTCAATAAAGATTACTAAAATAAAATATTAGGACAGGCCCCTGTGCACTAACATTTTTCTCCTTCCTTTCTTCCACAAAAGTTACTAAGCCCCTACTACATGCCAGGCCAGTGTCAGGAACTAGAGATGAAGTGATGAATCAGACCCCCATTTCCTGCCCTCAGCCTCGTGGAAAGACAGCCACGTAGATGGACAATTATCATAGCGTCCACATAGATAGACATGCATGCACTCTGGTGATACCACAGAAACGAAGACAGGGAGTCTGGCTGCATTGTTAACAACTATCATTATTGAAAGGAGCCCTGGTGGCACAGTGGTTAAAGCGCTAACCAAAAGGCTGGCAGTTCGAACCCATTAGCCACTCTGCAGGAGAAAGATGGGCAGTTCTACTCTTTCGTATAGGGTCCTATAAGTCAGAATCGACTTGACAGCAGTGGGTTTGATTTTTTGTTTGTTTTTTTATCATTTTTCAAGAATACACATGCTCATTTATTTCTTTCTGTGGATTTACCTTAAGATTCTGTTTCAATAAAATCATTCAAGCATGGATTCATTCAACAATATTCAGTAGCAGCTGGTATGTGCTGGACACTAGGCTGAATCTAGGGGCGAAGAATGGACAGCTGACCTGGACTCTTCTTCCATGGAGCTTATAGTTTACTGGAGGAGACAGACATTAATTCAGTAAACATGCATTTGGTTCCCATGATGTGTAAGGCAATATGGGGTGGGAGGGACAGAAGTCCTTGCCTTCCAGGCTTTCATATCTATTTGGGAGGGAACTCAGAGTCCAGGGTCGATGTTGGCAACAGCAAGGGAACATTCCAGGCAACTTCTCCCTCCCAGAAGAGCAAGAATGTTCTTTGAATTGAACTTCTTAGAGGCATTCAAAGATGTGAGGCTTAGGATGGCCCTGAAGGAGGAGAAGGCTTATTTTTTCTTTAGAAAACATGTAGAATTTTATTTTAGAATTAATTTAGGGGATAGTAATACATGCAATCACAACCTGTCTGTCAGTTTTCATACTGTGGCAGCTTGCGTGTTGCTATGATGCTGGAAGCTATGCCACCGTTATTTCAAATACAGGTAGTCTCCGATTTACAATGTATTCAAATCATGACGGATCGCACTTACCACCGTCTTTTTTTTTTTTTTTTGGTACATCTTATCATTAGTTTATACTAAATAAATACAATGTTGGAGTGTGTAATTTGCTGATATTATCATTCTCATAGGTTCACTTGCAGGTGTTCAAAAATTGGATTTATAAAGATACTACTAATAAAAGGCAATAATAATGAAAACAAAGAGGTGTTTGACTTACATCAGAACTAATTTACAAGGGAGTCGTCAAAATGGAACCCCATTGTAAGCTGGGGACTACTTGTACTAGCAGAGTCACCCATGGTGGACAAGTTTTAGCAGAGCTTCCAGACTAAGACAGACTAGGAAGAAAGGCCTGGTAATCTATTTTTGAAAATTAGCCAGTGAAACCCCTATGAATCACAATAGAACACTGTCCGATATAGTGCTGGAAGATGAGCCCCCTGGGTTGGAGGGCAATAATGAACTCAAGTATGCGGATGACCTTGAGGATGGTGTGGGACAGGGCAGCACTTTGTTCTGTTCTACACGGGGTCGCCTTGAGTCAGAGCCAACTGGACAGCAACGAACAACAATAATACACACAAACGGTTAAAAAAATTAAAACAGTAAAAAAGTTAAGTTTCCTTCCCATCCTTGCCCCCAGCCGTCAGTTCCCTCTCTGGAGACCGTCACTGTTACGGGTTTCCCTTACCTTCTTGCAGAGAGCATGTACAAATGTATGCATGCAACCGACCCCTGCCCGTTTTGTGCACAAGGCTCTGCTCCTTGTTTTTTTAACTTAAACAATACACCATGGAGACTGGTCTTCTCCGTAAGTGGAGAACTGCTGCCTCCTTTCCATGGCTGCCTAGCAAGGATGAACCACACCATATTTAACCAGCCACCCACTGACAGAATTTACGAGGCTTCCAGTCCTTTGCGGTAACAAACAATGCTGAGAGGCATCAGGGAGTAAAAGGAGGAGGAATAAAATTGTACATAAAATATATAATAGGGTCAAGGTCAAATATTATTTTAGAAATAGGTAGACTTAACAATCTGTAGAAAACAGACTTGTACCAAAAAAATATATATATATTTATGGACCCACAAGTACAAGGACAGTGAAAAAAACGCACAGGCCAGTCTATCACCAACCACGGTTACAAGATCTAGAGGAAAGTAACATCTGGTCCGTCACATAATATTGTTCATAGAAGCAGAATACGGTTTGCCCAGACTTGGAAGAAAATCAACCAGCACCAGGGTCAGGCCTGAGAAAGCACGGCACAGACAGAAAGCCATTCTCTGGATGGGAATGACCTGACCACCTTAGGAGGTGATGTGTGAGTCTAATTTCGTACAGAGGTAGTAACCCTGCAGGGCCACCTGGAGACAGTGCAGATTATACCAACACAGGTACTAACCAGTTGCCCTGAAGTCTACTCTGCCTCATAGCGACGTCCTGCGTGTCAGAGTACAACTGTGCTCCACAGGGTTTTCAATGGCTGATTTCTCGGAAGTAGATCGCCAGGCCTTTCTTCTGAGGCACCTCTGGGTGGGTTCAAACTTCTAACCTTTTGGCTAGCAGCTGAGTGCATTAACTGTTTGCACCATCCAGGGACTCCAAGGCAGGCATTAAACCCATTACCGTCTAGTCCATTCTGACTCATTGCAATCCCACGTGCTCCAGATTAGTATTGCTCCAGAGTTTTCTTGCTGTAATCTTTACAGAAGCAGATCACCAGGTCTTTCTTCTGTGGTGCTGATGGGTGGGTTCAAATCCCCAAGCTTTATGTCAGTAGTCTATTGTAAACCGTTAGCGCCACCCAGGGACCTTAGGCAGGTATTGGGAGAGGTAAAAGGCAGAGACACAGAAGGAGGAGGAGTTTGGGAAGTTGTAGAAATTGTAAATACATGCACATGGATTTGAGTGCTTTTGGGGTTCAGTATATTACCAAACACTTTGATCTTTAACCATGTGATGTATCTGAGAAACTGTCGTAATTTGCATTTCTCGTATTATAAGTGACGCTGAATATCTTTTCTTACATTTAAAAGTCATCTGTTATGCTTTTTTTTCTTTTCTGCAAGCTGCTGGTTTATGTCTTTTGTTGATTTTCCTATTAGGTCGATTATCTTTTTCTTATTTATTTACAGGAGCTCTTTATATATAAAGAAATCAGGTGTTAAAATTTTATTTCCCAGTTGGTTATTTATCTATTGGCTTTGTGGTATTTTCTCCCTTCCAGATATTTTACATTGGCATATAGTCCAATTTATCATCTTACCCCCCACTGATTAATGGGAGAGTAGAATTCCTTAAAAGAGAATGGAACTAAGGAGCCCTCACATGGGAGTCAACAAGCCACAATAAACTGGTTTGGCTGGAGTGGAGTGTGTACCGTAGGTGGAAATGAGATTGGAAAGACCATGGCTTGGCCCAGGCTGATAGTTCTACCCCGTGGGCAAGCAAGAGTCCCGGCAGGGCTGCAGGAATTGCAGCTACAGATTTGGGTTTGTTCGGTGCCACAAAGCCATACGTTTGATTTGCCTGTGAATCTGTCACTGCAGACCCTGGTGACCTGGGAAGGTGATGTCCTCGTGTGTGTGCAGAAGGGGGAGAAGAAGAACCGCGGCTGGAGGCAGTGGGTTGAGGGGGACAAGTTGCACCTGGTAAGTCCTGGGGTCCACACAGCTCCTGTCCATTGTGCTCAAACAAACTACCATATTTGCCTAGCCAGGCGTTTTGACAAGAAAAATGGCCCTGCTCTCTTCCGCTGAGCTGCAGCCAAATACATGTGGTCATATAGTCAGAAAGCCATTCCAATCTGGCTCAGGGGACTCCAGGAAGAAATCTATATGGCTGTTTCTGTGAAAGGCTGCAATTAAAAAGAAACTTCAAAATGCTGAGCTAGGAAGCCGAGATCCAAGAAGAAATGCAGGGAACCTGTTAAAGACCAGCTGGGGAGAAATATATGAGCCCAGGGCTAAGATGCTTTAGAGGAAGGCGCAACAAAGTCTTCTCACAATTGTGGGAGCCTGGAAGAGAGAGACGGTGGGGCAAGGAGGCGGCAGTTGGGTCTGGGAACTGCCTGTAGACCACAGTCATTGACTTCTCATCATAAGGTATGCCCACATGACCCCAAAATATTTTAGGTTAATTTGCTAGCAGAACACAGCAATAGGAACAATTGTTGACATCCTGAAATAAATTACATCTGGCTAGACAGCTTAATTTTTCATTCTTCAATCTTCAAAGCAATTTATGAGCCCGGCATTCAAATCACGAAAAATCATTCATTCATGCATGCATTCAGTTTCTTATTCATTCATTCATTCACCTATGGAGTCAGACTCCAATGTCAGTGTTCAGATCACCATGGTGTCCTTCAGAACCAGCCTTGCTTCACCTGAGATCTTTATTTTCAGAGGCTATGTCAACTGGTGCTAAATGTGAGACGTTCACTGTGTTTTTCCACTGATGGTTTTCCCGACCTCCTCTGGTTGGGATGATGGATTTTTTTTAATTGCGGCACAAACCCCACTGGTCCCTGTGGCTAAGACAATGGATTCGTTGTGAACTGCAGTGATCATGGTGATTATCCCCACACTCAAGTTTTTCTCTCCTCCTTCAAAGCTAACAGGAGGCTCCCTCTATCTGAGTAAGACTCGACATTGTGTCGAATGCACAGGCAGGCCTGGGGAAGCCCTTCTGCAGCTCACACCCCGTCTTTGTGGCACAGCCACCAATAATCTTTAGAGGCCAGAAAGCCCACAGGATGGAGGACAGCTCACCAGTCAGCATCTTCCCAGCCCCTTGATTTCCCGATGCTTCTCCCCTCTAGAAGCTCTCTTTCTTCGTGGCTTTTATAAATTGGGCCATGCTTTAATCACGGAAGTAGGTGAAATCCCACCCAAGAGGGTAATTCCTTTGCATTTTTCATTTTTATAGTTGTTCGAGCTCAATTCAAGTGTCAAAATCGAATTACTGCTACCTGCAGGGCATGCCAGCTGATGGGGTCCGTGAGATGCACTTTGCTCAGAATAACTAAGGGTCCTCTGACCCAGCTACCCCCACCAGCCCACTCACAGACACCAAGAGGGGCAGGGAGCTGGGCAAAAGGAAGACCGGGCTCATTACCTACTCACCCACTTTCTTGGCATTGCAGGAGCTGACCTGCGGTGACCAGGTTTGTCATCAAGTGTTCAAGAGGAAGTGATGTTTTGCAGGAAGCTGGCTGACCAACGCGCTCCCACTCCCCACTCAGAGTTCTCCATTGGCCTCCAGAAGGAGCCATGGGGACCCTCCCCCCCAACAGGGCCCCAGTCCACCATCTGGATGGGTTTTTAACATAAATACATGTGTAACAAGGATGACAGAGTCTTCTGTCTTTGAAACATGGTGTTAAATTAAAAACAAAAACCACTTCCATCCTTCGATGCCCATTATATCTATTGTTGTTGTGTGCCATCAAGTCCTTTTCAACTCTTAGGGACCCCACTTGACAGAGTAGAACTGTTTCTTGGTGCTAATCTTTACAGGAGCAGATTGCCAGGTCTTTCTCTCGCAGAGCCACTGGGTGGGTTCAAACCACAGCTGCACATAACCGTTGGTGCCACCAGGGCTCCCTTCTGTATAGCTATCTCCCTTTATTTCTAGAGCTGAATGTCTTCTCCACCCACGGGCAGCAAAGGGGATTGTCTGAATGGTGGCTTTTTTTGTTGTTTATTTGTTTTGATTTGATTTTGTTTTGTTAGTAAGTTTGTTTGGGAGGCTGTTTTACCTGGAAACATTCTCTGGCCCACACAGTACCCCGTACTGATTCTTAAACATCCCTCATTTGAGATTTATTCCTTTGGGTAACTCATTGATTTCTCTACGGTTGTCTTTTAAGATGCATATGCCTTAGAGTTTGCGCTTGCCTTAAGGGGCTTGGGAAGAGCTTCCCCTGAAGGCCTTTGGTGGATCTGCAGTTGACAGCAGCTTTTAGCGCAGGCCGGCCCTCTGCCTTGCAGCACTGGGCAGCCTGGCACCCCTGCAGATGGGGTCCCTGAGCACGTGTCCATTCAGCCTCAGTGCGCTTTCTCAGCCACTGCCCCATGCAGACTGCTGCAGGCTCGGGGGCCAGGTGGCTGAGTTCAGGTCCTGCCGCTCCACTTCTTAGCTGTGTGACCATGGTCAAGTCACTTGGCTCCCCTGTCCTAGTTCCCCTCTTCTATAAAATGGGAAAAATAGAAACAGCATCTTCTCCACTAGGCCATCGTAAGGATTAAGCAAGTTAATACAAATAAGGTGCTTGGAGCAGGGCCTGGTACACAGTAAGGGCTCAAGACCTGTTAGCTCTGGTTATTAGGCTGAGTTGCTCCCTCCAGTGGCAGGGATCCAGGTGAGCAGATGCGAAGTGGCAGCACGTTAATGTCTCCAAGTCCTCCTGGTGCTTTGAGAACATTAGATTCGTTCTCTGGAACAGAACTGGATTTCCTGCTGGAGACACAAACGGGATAGTGCACCTAGAAAGAGGGGGTACTTAATGGGGACGGATTTATGGTGGACCATTTATGGGGTCCTGAGGAGACACTGCCGGTCAGAACCGTCCCCTTCATTCCTCTGCAGTGGGGCCTGGAATCCCGTCATTAGGCAAACATCACCTTTACAAAGCAGCTTTATCCTGAGATGGGTGGCTCGTGGTATTAGCACACTTTGGTGTGACGTGATTGATCTGATGCTTTCACTGATCCTGGGCATCCTAAATGGGATTAGGGGATGATAGAAGGGCTGCCACCCAGCTATGCAACCCAGGGTCAGCCTGAGCTCAAGTTTTTCTGACCAGGAGGCCATGCCAGGGGCTGCCTGGCAAGCTGTGCCCCCCAACAACCATGCCAGTGTGCCTGTGGCAAGAAAGCCAGGGAGGTGCCTGGCTGGAGCCTCGTGCTGGCTGGGTGCTAGGGGAGGTGGGTGGTTGCTCCCCCTTCCCCGAGCACAGCCCTTCTAGTTAAGTCAGTGAAAGGCAGCGGCGAGGAAGGGGAGCCTCCTGAGGAGATGCCGGCCCCATCTCCTGGGGCAGACTGGGGACTGAGCCAAGGAACTCATGAAGGGGGCCCTTTGTCCCGCCTTCTCCCAAAGCTGCCCCAGGAGTCCCATGTCCTCCTGCTGCTCCCACTAGTCCCGCCCTTGCTCACCACAGTCTCAAATGGCCCTCTGCTTCATTCTGCAAGAAAACACTGTGAAATGAGATCAGGTCTGAAAGCCTTCAGGGAGCTAGCTGTAAAGTGCTTTGCCTAGGTAAGGTGTTAGTATTTATTAGTAATTCTTGATCCTGGGTTTTGCAAAATGTATTCTAGGGGATGTTACTCCCTTGAGAGTCTGTGTAAATGTGCATGGCCAAATGAACTTGGAAAATGCTCAGAACTGTAGCTCCTTCTTAGAAATTCACAATGAGAATTAATGTTTTTAAACCTCTGAAAAGTCCTGCAGCGAAGAAGCCTGGTCTTAACCACAGGCCCCCCTTTAACCCAGTAGGAGTTCATGTCTACAGAGTTTTGGAAACACTACATTCATTCCTTACCTGCATATAGCACTTTTCCAGTTACAGATAAACAGTATAATTTAAGGCTCCCATTTTCCAACTAGGATATTCTCAGCATATTTTTTCCACAAAAGGATTTAATTTATACTATAGCATGCAAACTGGCAGAGCTCTGGTGGCACAGTGGTTAAGAGCTTGGCTGCTAACCAAAAGGTTTGCAGTTCGAGTCCACCAGTCACTCCTTGGAAACTCCATGGGGCAGTTCTACCCTGTCCTAGGGTCGCTATGAGTCAGAATCGACTCAGTGCAACGGTTTTGGTTTTTGGGGGAGGGGCCTGTGAAAACCCAGGCTCACGAATAGGCAGCTTTACAGAATAGCTCGAACAGGGACTTTGGCATCAGCCCTGGGTTCAAATTCTGACCCGCTACTCTTCGGTAGTGTGACTGTGGCAGTTACTTCCCCTCTCTGAGCCTGCATTTCCTCATCTGCGTAATGAGGGTTATAGAACCTACTTCATAGAGGGTGGTCGCTGTTGTTAGTTGCTGTCAGGATGATTCCAACTCGTGGCAACACCATGTGTGCAGAGTAGAACTGCTCCAGAGGGTTTTCAAGGCTGTAATCTTTTGGAAGCAGATTGCGACGCCCGTCTTCTGAGGAGCCTCTGGGTGGGTTTAAAGCACCAGCCTTTCAGCAAGCAGTCGCATGCTTAACGGTTTGTACCACCCAAGGACTCCAAGATCACCGGGAGGACTTATTAAAAACACGGATTTCTGCACACACCCTTCCCACTACCCCTGAGGTTCTGATTCCGGGGTCAGGAACAGGCCCAGGAATCTGCATTGCTTCTGGTTCCCCAGGTGATTCTCTGCAGGTTGGCAAGCACACTGACAAACTCCACCTCCTTTGTTTAAAATGTGATTCATTTTAAACATGCATTTACCCACATAGGCACACACCTCATCAACTCTCAAGCAAAACCTCCAGTCCATCTCCACAGGTGGGTAAAGCCAGGTTAACGGGCAGTCAAAAGTTTTGTGAACCCTCCCCACCCTACATCTTTCTGGCTAACGTGTCTGATGAGCCCTGAAGATAAGTACAGAGGCAAGGCCAAGGCAGGTCAACAGAAGTGATGTCCCACCTAGACCCTGGAGGATGGTAGTGGGTGGTGGGGAGAGGGCCTGAGCAAAGGGATGGAGGCAGAACAAGACAAAGGGTGCAGGGGGGATAGGTGGGGGTGTAGGCGCCACATGTGGTGGGATGGAGGAGGGCCAGAGCTGGGAAAGTTGTTGTCTCAGACTAGGGTGGGTTGTGAGCACCTTGCTGGGCCCCCATTGGAGGGTCCTAGGGAGACAGTGCAGGCTTCTGAGCTCAGAATGAGGTGATCTGAGATGTGGATCAGGGAAAACACTCTGGCCTCTGTTGGCAGGACAGATGGAGATGGGGAGAGAGGCTCAGGTTCACCTGTTCAGAGGCTATTGTGATTCGTTCAGGGGAGAAGCATGAGGAACCCAAATCAGGGCCAGGGAGTGGTGACAAAAAGGAAGGGAAGAACATGAGAGGGGCTTGAAGGAGCCACTGCACTTGGCAATGGTTGCACCAAGCTTGCAAGGGAGATGAGGAGATACAGAGGTTGTGAGTTTGGGGAAGGGGTATAAGTTTAGTCAGCCCCACAGCTCAGCAGCGGCAGGAGGTGCGGGGATGCAGAGGGAAGATGGCGGATTTGGGTTAGGCCTGTTGTGTATGAGGTGAAAGGGACACATGACGGAAAGGCAGTCATTCTCTCCCCCGTCACCCACTGCTACTCTCCAATGGCTACAAGTCACCCCTTCCTGCACCTACCAGCCCCCACTGGCTGGGGAGAGGGGAAAGGCTGAGCCAGGGCCAGAGCTGAAGGAGCAGCCAGGCAACCACTGAGGCTTGGAGGTGATGAGGTCACTAGGAGCAAGGGGAGGAGGAGGTGGGGAAAAAGGGGGAGAAGGAAGAGGAAGAGGAGGAAAAGAGAGCGGAAAAGGGGAGAGGAGAGAGGAACAGAGAGATGAGAGGGTGGGAAAGGGGTGGAGAGGGGAGGAGGAGAGGAAAAGGGGGAGAAGGGAGAGAAGGAGAGGAGGAGAAGAAAATGACAGAAGAAGGGGAAAGAATGGGAGAAGGGAGAGGAGTGGAGAGGAGGAGAGGCTTGGAGCAGAGTCCCTACTCCTCAGGAGTGAACGCAGGAAAGAGGAGCAGATGGCAACTATGTCTGACTAACTAGGGTGTGCAGACCACAGCCAGAGCAAAGCAACTCAGACAGACCCCAGGGGCTTTCTCTAATTTTTTTTTCCAAACACAAAAACCAAAACCAAACCAAACGCGTTGCATTGAGTCAATTCTGACTCATAGAGACCCTATAGGACAGAGTAGAACTACCCCATAGGGTTTCCAAAGAGCAGCTAGCTGGTGGATTCAAACTGCCGACCTTTTGATTAGCAGCCTAGCTCTTAACCACTGTGCCGTGAGGACTCCAAAGCATAAAAAGTTCTGTTTAAATACAACTAGGCAAGCAAAGGCAGAGAAAGTGCACCCAGAGGCACTGGAGGAGGCTTGGCCTGAGCCCTTGTCTGATGTTCTGGCAAAGAACAGATTCGGGTAATAAGTCTAATCCTTTGTTAAGCACTTCCTCTGTCCTTACCTGAGCTCTTTCCATCCTCGCAGCACT